CTCTGGATGCTCTGAGTGCTTGGCCGCATGATTTCACACTTGTCTCCAATTTGTCTCCCACTTGTCTCCCACTTGTCTCCGAGTAAGCTCTGGATGCTCTGAGTGCTCTGGCCGCATGATTTCACACTTGTCTCCCACTTGTCTCCCAGTAAGCTCTGGATGCTCTGAGTGCTCTGGCCGCGTGATTATATACTTTTGTCCCATTTGTCTCCCACTTGTCTCCCAGTAAGCTCTGGATGCTCTGGCCGCATGATTTTATACTTGTCTCCCATTTGTCTCCCACTTGTCTCCCAGTAAGCTCTGGATGCTCTCAGTGCTCTGGCCGCATGATTTCACGCTTGTCTCCCATTTGTCTCCCACTTGTCTCCCAGTAAGCTCTGGATGCTCTCAGTGCTCTGCCCGCATGATTTCATACTTGTCTTCCATTTGTGTCCCATTTGTCTCCCAGTAAGCTCTGAGTGCTCTGGCCGCATGATTTCAGACTTGTCTCCCACTTGTCTCCCAGTAAGCTCTGGATGCTCTAGTGCTCTGGCCGCATGGTTTCACACTTGTCTGCCATTTGTCTCCCATTTGTTTCCCACTTGTCTCCCAGTGAGCTCTGGATGCTCTGAGTGCTCTGGCCGCATGATTTCACACTTGTCTCCCACTTGTCTCCCAGTAAGCTCTGGATGCTCTGAGTGCTCTGGCCGCATGATTTCACACTTGTCTCCCACTTGTCTCCCAGTAAGCTCTGGATGCTCTGACTGCTCTGGCCGCATGATTTTATACTTGTGTCCCATTTGTTTCCCACTTGTCTCCCAGTAAGCTCTGGATGCTCTCAGTGCTCTGGCCGCGTGATTTCACGCTTGTCTCCCATTTGTCTCCCACTTGTCTCCCAATAAGCTCTGGATGCTCTAAGTGCGCCGCATGATTTTATACTTGTCTCCCATTTGTCTCCCACTTGTCTCGCACTTGTCTCCCAGTAAGCTCTGGATGCTCTCAGTGCTCTGGCCGCATGATTTTATACTTGTCTCCCATTTGTCTCCCACTTGTCTCCCAGTAGGCTCTGGATGCTCTCAGTGCTCTGGCCGCATGATTTCACGCTTGTCTCCCATTTGTCTCCCAGTAAGCTCTGGATGCTCTCAGTGCTCTGGCCGCATGATTTCATACTTGTCTCCCATTTGTCTCCCACTTGTCTCCCAGTAAGCTCTGGATGCTCTGAGTGCCCTGGCCGCATGATTTCAGACTTGTCTCCCACTTGTCTCCCAGTAAGCTCTGGATGCTCTAGTGCTTTGGCCGCATGATTTCACACTTGTCTGCCATTTGTCTCCCATTTGTTTCCCACTTGACTCCCAGTAAGCTCTGGATGCTCTGAGTGCTCTGGCCGCATGATTTCACACTTGTCTCCCACTTGTCTCCCAGTAAGCTCTGGATGCTCTGAGTGCTCTGGCCGCATGATTTCACACTTGTCTCCCACATGTCTCGGATTACATTGGGTCTGCGCATTCGTGTTTAAAGTTTACAAGGGGGGCAACATATGTCACAACCTGGATCCATAAATTTCATGTTTTAGCCCTTGTACGGCGTCCCATTGTAAAGTCAATGAAAAACAGAATTTTAATGCTTTCCCTTTGAATCTTGTATGTGCGTCTACATGGTGGACTACAGTTTTCTTCCTCTAGGAAATACTGCTGGCCATATTGTTCGGAGATCTCATTTTTGAACATTGCTCTGTTTGGGGTCTACGCTGGTATAATATTGATACTTGCGTCTTTGCTAGGAAACCATTGTGTTTAAGTCTAAGTAGTCAAAACGACCTGTGACCGTCATTCCCTCAATCGGCTACATCAATTCTGACCTGAGCCCTGGGCACTTTTCCTCCACTTGTTGCATTGCTGCACATAACAAAAGGAAGTTCAACACGAGCTGATACAGGTCATCTTGTCAAATGAAAATGGTTTGCTTTATTCTGTCCAGTTCAGGTGTCTCCGGTGTCTTGTGAAGGGACATAATGAAGTTCCCCGCAACCCCACGACGTTGTATGGGATTGCTGACTTGGCCACCTTTTGGTTGCTTGTCAATACCGAAGCAAACATACGCAGCGACTGGTGACTCTTACAGTAAAGTGTCATTGATGTCAAACACCGCAAGATAAAGATAGGATAGGCCAAGCTGAGGAGACTCATGAACTTAAAATATATCTACATTCAGCTTTGCCCCTACGGTGGTCGCTTCAGGTTTCGTAGCGTCTTGCCTGTAAGAATCTCCCCATGAACAAAGTGGAGAGGTTTCCCAAAAGGGCGACTCTCGAAGATTGAAACTTTGCAAGTCAAGTTTGGTGTTGAGTGGATCTACTGGAATGGCGTGGAGTCCTTGGCACTTCAGCAACCTAAACATCTGGTTCCGAACAATTGGTTCCGAACAGCATCATGCTCTTGCGCTCCTGCTTCCACACTTGCCGCCACCCTCCCCGTCCCCCACAAGTCCCGACGCTTTCCCAAACGATTCCTGCACAGCAGTCCACCAGCCGCTCTGCTGCCTCGACGCAGGAAAAGTGTGAATCACCTGGCGGGAGGCAAGACATCTTCGCGTTCGGCATCTTTGGTTTCCCAACTTTTGAAAGGCGAAGGGATGTTCCACAAAACAACCCTATCAATAAAACATTCCATCTATAAAACACTGAATTTATAGTAATACACAATGCTTTGCCCTGGTGCTCCTTCAGCGAGTGTCTCCGACGTCTGTTGGCGCTAGGGCCTAGGGTGTTTGCAAGTGTGCACCTGTTGTAGCAATGTGTACATAAATTCCAGGCCAAACTCCGACACACTCTTCGCAAAGAAAGACGAATGACACTGTTCAAGTGGACAGCGCTGCACCTCCAAGATTTAGGTTTGGAGAGTGCGTTTGAGAAACAATTCCAACGCGTCGCAAGGCATGCCAATAGTTCTTTCTTTGCAAATAGTGTCAGGGTTTGAGCTTGAACTTATGTACATTGCTACAACATGTGCACACTTGCAAAAGCCCTAGGCCTTAGTGCCTTTCTCTCTGGGCACCCACAGCCGCAAAAGATCATAAGGCGTGTGATTGCGCAGACCGCAAACCTGCTTCAAAGGGACCTGAGGCTGTTCAAATCATCGGTGAGCCGATGAAATCTTAATAACAGGGCCAAGATGCAAACCGATGCTCAGAAAACCAGACTTCCAATACTTTCCACAAGACCGGAAGAGTTTGATCATCTTGAACGTGTTGGAGTCTGTTTTGGTTTCGGAGTCTGATCCCAAACATTTGCGCATTTTATAAGAGGCAGGAGCAAACTCCTTTGGAACACATCCCAAAAACACCATGCCGGAGTTCTTTCTCATGGTCTTCATCTTTCTGGAATGCATAAGCCCAGCATGAACAACTGTACGGCCTATTGTCCATGACGCCGCCCTTGGTTTCTTTTTCTTGGGTGCTCCATCGCGCTTTGTCGCGCGGAGCGCTCAGCGTGTCGCTGGCTTACCGAAGGAAAGCCACACTGTGCCCCAGTACTTCGGTGTCCAAAACCAGATCTGGCTTCTTGTTACTAGAAGCGATGCACCTGTTACTAATAGCTTCTTGTTACTACTAGTAAGGCACTTGTTACTAGAAGCGATGCACCTGTTACTAATAGCTTCTTGTTACTATATAGTAGTAAGAATGCTCCTAGTAGCGATGCCAGGAGCCCTTAGTAGCGTCCTGCTCCTAGTAGTAAGGCCAGGAGCCCCTAGTAGCCCCAGGGGTGCCTCCGGCAATTCTCACTCACGTGATCTCACATGCCTCGGCGGATCTCATCCAAGGCGTATTGACATCTGAAAGGCTTCCCATCCTGACAGATGCAGCAGTCGCTCGTTATTCTTTGTTCAATGGCTGGGGTGTCTTCTTTGCAACCGCCTGGATGGCGCTGCGAAACATAAACAATACCGGATATATCAGGATATCCTTTACCTTTACCTGATGTGGTGCTGGATTATTGTCTTCTACGGCACTCTTTTTCTGGATGGTGTAGCGGAAAGTCTACCAACGATCTTTCTCCTGTCAAGACCACTCTTGAGAGTTTCTACTCACAACTCAAGGGGGAGTTGTACTTTTCCAGACTTCAAATCAAAATTGCAACGAGCCACGTGCGAACACGCGAGTCGCTAAACCCTAAACCCAGCCACTACACTTCACCCCCACGACCACACGTCCTCCATGAAGGCTGTGGCTTCGGGCAGGAACTTTCCGCCGCAGAAGTTACACTCCTCTGACTGCAGGACGCCCTTCGGCGCCGCTTACTCTTTCTGCTACAAGAACTTCAGGACTGTAGGTTCACTTTGAAGACTTTCCTACATGGCCTGGATCATCGAAGTCTTGAATTCTTGGATCCCCGTGGCGATGCCTCGAAGTCTCCGGTGAGGTCTGATGCGAAAGGTGTGGCATTCTTGCAGTCTTCCAATTGACCAAAACCGCCCAAGCGAACCAAAGTGTGGGGAATACAGGTTGGCGATCAAGGGATGGCTAGACGTTCTTCATTTGAGTCGGATTAATTCTTCAGGAAGTTAACTCTTCAAGAGATTCTATGAGAACACTTAACACTTGCCAACAATACTTTAGGTTGGAGGCCATCGCTAGTAGGTTTAAGATCCTTAAAGTATGTTTGTCTATAGAATGTTAGAGGGATTGATCCACAACCCGGAACACCCACCATGGTGCTCAGCCCAGCTAGCAAATCAAGTCAATGTACCGACTGAAAACCAAACTTTCACCGGGTTGATGTGATGGGCATCACGATTGCTCTCTCCCTGCAAGCAACATTAAACTATGTCATGAACCAATACAACACTTTCATGGAACTCTTTCATTCATGGATGGTCTGGACCAGCATAGACTCGACATGGGCAAACTAAGCGTTTGTAAGACACATGCAGAAATCTCATTGCTATAGGAGGTCCATTTCCAATGTCCGTGCCCTTGTTTGGTTTCATCCTCAGCCTGAATTCAATCTGTATCTCTATGCAACATGATGCCTCCACGGAGCTTTCACAGCGCGTGAGCTCATGAATCTCCTTGTGGTTGGAACTCACCGGAGATGAGAGGTTCTCAGTCGGTCGATGCAAATCATAAACAGCAGCGCTAGCGGTTCATGTCAAAGCACGTCCTGCGTAGCACCCCAAATCCGTCCATAGTGCTATTTCCGTCCTCAATAGTTTTCCACGACGCAGATGCAGCAATTCGTAATTACCATTCATTTGATTTCCGGGACCCATGCAAGGGGAAACAAAAAGATTCCGTGGGGGACGTGTCAGGGCTTTGACTCATCCTCATAAAGGGGACGCTGAACAAACAGTAAAAGGAAAGGTTCACTTAGTATGTTGTCGTGTTTTTCCACACCCGGTCTACCAGAGCTTACAACCCATCATGAACTAGAATAGCCAATGACCTTGACGATCAAACTTGACGTGAATGTTCAGTAGTTTTCAACAAGCAAGCAGCGCATCTCCGCTAAGGGTCACTGATAGCACTATTGCTCCTTCCCAAGGATACTTTCATAGGGTGTCTTGGTACTTAGTTGCTTCTAACACTCATTGACACCTGTTTTGGTCTTTATCATCGAAGAGCTGACAACAAGACTGGAATAGATGCAGCACTGTTGTTCTTACTCTATTTGCTGGAACACGAAGCTTCGCAAAGTTGAGAAACGTCAAATTGATGCGTCCCATTTGTGGCAACCTTTGGTAAAAGGCGAAAGCTATGCACCTTGAAGTGAACGCTGTAATGGGTATCTTGCCTTTGCTGGCCCTGCATGCCACACAGATTCTATGCAGCTGTACATCTTTCAACCCCATTAACACAAACAACATACGACCAATTATGTACGTACATGTATTCCCCGTACGAATGCTCATGGATTCGCGCCCTTGCCATACATCCTCTTCCGGAAAATAAGCAGTTCAATCAAAAAATCCTGAATTGTGGCAAATTCCTGCCTGTTGACTGTTGAAATTTTCCAAACATAGATTGTATATCCCGGATGAGCACCTAAAGTCCAGCAGGTTTCCGTCGAGCTGTAGTGAAAAGATAGAGTTTCTCTCACAGCATTTTCGCACAAACACCAAAACAAGAACTGGACTTCTACAGCTGAAAGCATCTGCACCACCTGGACCGGAACCACAATGTTACCGGTCTTTCCAAGCTTCCAAGGAGTCTGGCGATGTAGCAAGTGTTTCGGTGACGACCAGTTCCTCCTCCAGTATCCCAAGGAGACCAGGTCACCCCGGCAAAGGCTGAGCTGTAAAATGACGTTTCAACCATTGTAAGGAGCCCCTAGTAGCTTCAAACAACACATCCACACATCCACGCGGGTAAACCCTTCCGAACATACATTGCAAGAAGAGGACACTGGGAAGATTGTGTTGATCATTCTTGAGGATGCTCTCCTCTGAAACAAACAGTAATTGTGTGTTGTTTTGGTGATTGATCCATCCAAAAATACGGTCGGTGGACTAGTCTGTGGGTATGCGTGGGCTAAACACTTTGCTCCCCAAACTGCAAAACCCCACAAACTCAATGGCACAATGGTAACACGAAACAATGATGCCCAAACGTGGTGATCTTGCTGAAGGCCAACCTGCCCCAAAGTCCGAAGATTTTTGACGGTTATGACTCGGGCCCAAAGTGTTCATTAACGTCTGCACATGGTACATGAACACATCGACGCTGTTTGGCTCGGATACTCCCGTGACCGGCTGATTTCAGCCCACTTGTGCAAGCCTGCCGACCTGCCGACGTGCCGGGTCAAGTCACCCCCTTGGTGCAAAGCTCGCTCCTGGCAAAGTAGCTTCCCTTTTGCACCTGGCCGAGGAGATGTGAAGGATGTGTTTGAAGGATGGTCTCCGCGTGGCCCAAGACCAGCGCATGTTCCACAGAAGCCGAGTCACAGGCGTGCTTTGTATCGGCTTCACAGTTTTTGGCTTTGGGGTCCTTGGTTGAAAGCAGCAATCGTGCAGGTCGTTAGCCAACAGGTGTCCAAGTAAAAGGGCAAGGCATTGTCGCCTTTGCCAATCAAGGATAAACTGTTGAAGTGTGTTTGGAAGTTTGCTTTCGTCTCTACCAGTTGTAGTCTAAAGGTGTGACTTGCTTCTATTGTGCCTTAACATGAGAACTCCCTTGCACCGCGAGCCCTTTTCTATATCAAAGAGAGGGTGTTTGGGGGAAATGGCCCAGATACCGAATCGAGAACATGCTCTAACTGGCCATACAAGCAAATCAGAACGCAGCTCTTTGCAAACCATCCGATGGTTCCATTTCTTTAGGTTCTCGCAGAAGGGTGCTTTGTTATTCAGAATGCTTCTTCTTGAATTTGTCAAACCACCCCTCTTGCATGGTTGTCCACCCACTCCTTTTCTCCAGCAAAAGCCCAGGCTCTGCCAAGGAGTTGGAGGTCGACATCTTCAACCCACAGGGCCTTGCACCAGCATTATAGAGCAGGGCCTTCACAAACATATACTATACACCACCAAAGTGTGCAAACAGGTCGGTTGGTTGCATTTTAGCCATATTTTAATTTATAATACAATATTATATATTATATATATACATTGTATATAATATATATATATATCATATGTTCACCTTGAAGAGAAGATCCACCTGAGCTAATAGGATGTCAAGGGTTCTCAGCTCAGCTGTTTGGCGGGTAGGCACAAAGAGGGGATTCTAAGGAACTGATAGGGAGCATTGAGAAAGCGTACCAAGCACGATGAACAGTTAGGTGAATTCACACATCCGTAGGAAACACAATTTTGAAAATGTTGAACTACCTCCTCCGAGATACACTTGACTTGCTTGCGCCATGGGCGCCGCATATGACCTTGGAGCCTTGCCCCCTTGTATTAAATTGGTCAAGCAGTGCAGCCACAAAATACAGCGCATTCAAATACCCAAAAGCATCGTACTTTGGTGGCGACCCAGGGCGGTTGGACCGATTTCAAAACGTCCTGGCAAGGGACCGTGTGGGATGCAAGCTGGGCGTGAGGTGGTCCCAGAAGTCCAACAGGGTTTGCTCGTGAAAACGAAGTTGGACATTTATTGTAATAGCTTCTTGTTACTACTAGTAAGGCACTTGTTACTAGAAGCGATGC